CCGTGTCATACTCTTCTCTATTATGCACTCTTGATAATATCTAATTAAGTTACATGTAACGCACTGACAGTACAGAATGCCATAGAAATTATACGATTTAAGGAGCATAAACCTTCTTCAACCAAATTTAGCTTTTGAAATTTTACTGTGACATTGTAGCCTCATACATCCAGGCATGTATAGATTCTACTAGCAAACCCGGCAGTCAAATTCTTTCTAACAGTAAAAAAATCAATGTTTAACCCGCCTCTTGAGGGTCAAAAAGTTATCCGACACTTACTCTTCGCATGTCAGCAGAAAGTACATTTCATGGTCCTTTCAATAAAGCCATAAAAATGCTAGGTCACCGCTGAAACAAAAAAGTTTTTGAATCGCTCCGTCAGACCATGTCCTCAGAAAATGTCTAAAATCTTCCCTGTTCCTATTGACCTTTGACCTGTGACTTCCAATTTCGGCACAGTGATGGCTTTCCCTACCGTGATGCTATACACCGACTATCACGAGCCTAGGTCGAGCCGTTTAGATTTGTGCCTCAATTCTGCATTTCCTCCCTATACCTTAAGTTAAGGAGGGAATGTTCCCCCCTTTTACACCTCTTGACCTTTGACCACCAGCTTTGACATCCCAACTCGTTTTCGGATTACCCCCCCACGTTCCGAATATCGTGACCGTACGTCGAGCGGTTAAGATTTGTGCCCAACTGTTGACGCACGCACGCACGAACGGACAGACGGACAATCATGCGATTCTACAAGCTGCATCTGACTACGTCAGATGAGCTAAAAATACTGTATTATATGATACAGTTGACCTCGCCTAAGTCGAATCCAACGGGACTGGAGGAAAAGCTTCGACTTATACGGATTTCCACTTCCGTGGAAGTCACCAAATTTTTTTCGACTTAAAGTAACTGCATGTTTCTATTGCATCGCTGTGGTCGCGTGTACATGTATTGTGTTGATATTGATGTTTTCAATTACACTTCACGCTAGTGTTGCCTTTATCGCAATGTGTGTTCATTTGTTTGGTTTGATAATGCTAGTCAAGAGAATTAACACTTACGTGGAATAATAAACAATAAAGAAACACACGTAATGTACATCAGTAAAATGAGTGTACTTTCTCGTTGTGCGCTAACCTTCAGGAATGCTTTTTTTCTACAAAAAAGTTGCACATTTCAATGGCCATGTGTTTGACGGTACTCGTAAAAACAAAGAGCCTCCGACTTCGACTTGTGCGATGGAATTAATGCAGGTTTGAAACCATTGGGACTAGAATTCTTCTTCGATATAACAGAAATTCGACTTGTGAATTTCGGCTTGGTCGAAGATTTTTTCAAGTAAAAACAAAAGGAAAGATTGCAACATTTGTCGAGCTTCGATTTGGCCGATTTTTCGACTTGTGCAATGTCGACTTAGGCGAAGTCGAAAGTATATGATATATTTCAATATCTGGTTACCCTGGTGACCTGGTCACTAACATTCAACCGATTATCATCGATCGTCGATCGGTTGGGTGCAACCGATGATCGATGATGAAATTCCAACCGATTCCCATCACTACAAACTAGTCTAGCCCGAGTGACCTAGCCGCAATATCGATTGTGTGGTTGGTTATCTGTCTCAGATGGCTAGGTCAGCTACACTAAAGCCACATAAGATTTTAAATATATTTAAAATTTTGTAATCAATAAACTTTAGATGATAAATCAGCTCTCGACACTAACGGTTGGCAAATTGCCAAGACAAATTAAAGTCTATGTCGGACAAGTTATTCTTTTGTCTAGTTGCCCGATCAGACAACTGAAAAATTTATGTATCTAGTTATATAAATTAATGGTAATATATGCACTGAACCAAGGCTCCACAAGGACCGATTTTGGGTCCTCTGATATTTCTGATTAATGCTAATTACATGGCAAAGGCAGGTAATGCTAGCCGCACACTATCCGATTTTGCACTGTGCACAGCACTAACGCCCCGCACACTATCCGACCCGATCCCAATCGATCGGGAGGCCACCGCACACTGTCCGACTCAAAGTTGACGCAAACCATGGCACTCTCGTGGCGTTCCAAGCGGATTTAGCGTGTACTAAGAAATTACCATCCCAGAGCTGCCCAGGGAACCGCATTCGAATGGAATGGCATCGAACCATGGAAACACTCCCGACGCTTAGTACACGCTAAATCGCTTGTGATTGGAGTGGAAGCCACGAGAGGCCATGTTTGCGGTCAACTTTGAGTCCGACAGTTGGCGGTTGGCCTCCCTGATCGATTGGATCGGTCGGATTATGTGCGGGCGTATAGTGCTGGCCAGCTGCATAATCGATAGTGTGGCTAGCATTACCTGCCTTTGCTATGTAAATTGCATTAATCAGAAATATCAGAGAGCCCAAAATCCGTCTTTGTGGAGCCTTGGTCTGCATATATTCACCATTAATTATATAACTAGATACATAAATTTTCCAGTTGTCTGGATCGGGCACTAGACAAGAGAATAACTTGCGACATAGACTTAATTGTCTTGGCAATTTGCCAACCGTTATGTCGAGAGCTTGATTATCATCTAAATTTATGGATTACAAAATTTTAAAATATATTTAAAACTTATGTGGCTTCTAGTGTAGCGACCTAGCCACTCTGAGACACGATACGCAACCACAAAATCGATATTGCGCGCTCGGTCCTCGGCTAGACTAGTTGTAGTGATGGAATCGGTTGAATGTCATCATCGATCATCCGGTTGACCCAACCGAGTGTAAATCGATCGATACAATCGGTTGAATAGTTACGTCCAGGGTAACCAGATTATTGAATATTCATACATACTAATTCGCTCCTCGCCTAATCGACATTCGCATAATCGAAAAATCGGCCAAATCGAAGCTCCACAATGTCAGCAATCCTTTCCTTTGTTTTGTTTTTAGCTCATCTGACATAGCAGATTGCAGCTTTGCCTGAATCCTGATCGTACCGTGCGGCCGTGCGCCGTGCGATCAACAGTTGGGCACAATCTTAACCCGCTCGACGTACTAGTCACGAATTCGGACGTGGGGGTAATCCGAAACGAGTTGGGACCTGTCGAGCGGGGGTCAAAGGTCAAAGGTCAGAGGTGTAAAAGAAAGGGCGACTTTATCACTTAACTTAAGGTAATAGGAGGAACATGCCAGAATTTGCAGCACAATTAACGGCCTCGACTACGGCTCGTGATAGTCGGTGTATAGCATCATGGTAGCAAAAGTCCATCACTGTGCGAAATTTCGGAGGTCACAGGTCAAAGAGTCAATGCACAGGCAGATTTTAGACATTGGTTCTGAGACATGGTCTGACGAGCGATTGAAAAAACTTTTTTGTTTCAGCGGTGACCTTACTTTTGGCATTTATTGAAAGGCCCATGAAATCTACTTTCTGCTGACATGCGAAGAAAGTGTTCAGATAACCCTTTTATGCCTCCAGAGAGAGGGTTAAACATGGAATTTTGACTGTCTTAGCAAACGAATTGATGCCGGGTTTGCTATAGGAATCTCTACATGCCTGGATCGTATGAGGCTACATGTCACAGTGAAATTCAACAGCCTAAATTTGCGTTAAAGAGGTTT